ATTTTTGGATGAATTTATATTGGTGGCAATGTCTCATCATTTTACAGTTGAAATAGCTAGATATAACTGTAAGTTCTATGCTAATAATTTCTTCTATCATATGTCTTGCTTGTGGAACTCCTCCAGCTTTTTTCCCAGTTAACTATGATCCTAAAAAATTTAAATGCAATGTCAATTGTTATATACTGTTTTCTTAATGGTTGTTCTTTTACTGTTCTCTCTCCTTAATAGTGCTCTTTTTTTCTCTCATATTCTCTAACACTCAGTAGCTCCTTGCATCTCAGTGACTTTATTGCCTTGCTTGGGGTGAAATGGTTAAAAACAAAATGTAAAAAAACTTACTCAGTTAACATTAAAATAATGAAAGAAATTTTAATGTTTTATATGGATTCCAAATCTGGTAATATAAATTATAAATTGTTATATATAGATGTTAAGATAACCTAAGAAAAAAAAAATCAGTCCAGGCCAGATCTAAAACTTCTTGTATGGAATAATTAGATTAATTGTAAGTCACAATATCTATAGGCTTAAAATACATTTTTTCATTAGCACTGTACAAATATACCTCAGAATATTTTTCTATTTCGCAAATTAATGTTATTTATTTACATAGCTGATAAATTTGAAGTATAATATGAAAGAAAATCATTAATAAGATTTTCTGATGCAATTGTGCCCATTTAATGAGACATTATTTGCTTTGTTTATAGGTCAATGCATCTATTAAGTTCAAAGTTCTGCATTTCCAGTTATCAAGGAAAAATACATTATTACTTTTATCTTAAGATGCCTTTATTGTATTAATATTGTAATTGCATAACTCAATTTTTCTCTATCAATAAATTATTTCCATTGCATTAAGAATATTTTATCTTAAGCTATTTTCCATGTATATTTTGTAATGTACTGTTTTTGTTTTAGAAAAAGCTATATTTCTTCAGGATGTAGATGGTCATGGCTCTCTACGGATTTTCTTTCCTATTTTTTGGTGAATTGCAATACCTTCTCAAGAAAGATAGAGTGGTTTCCCATAGCCTTCTTTAGTTTGTAATTTAGAGTTGTCCTTCTTAGACTGATTATCACCCAATGATAGAGAGCCCAATCTGCCATGGTATTTAACCCATAGCTGGGGAGGACAAGTAATGGATTCAAATCTTTTCCAAGAGCATCAGTGCAAATATGAACACAATAGATAAAGTTGGGATTGTATTAACTTATGATAAAAGCTCAAATGTAATTTTATGAACTTTTAAAGAAACTAAGAATAAATCAATTTCTTGGCTGCAGTTGTCTAGAAAGAGCATTGAGCATTTATTTTGTCTGGTTTGATCTATTTGCCATTACACCAGTTCCTTGCAAATCACACTGCCCACCAAAAACTAAAGGAACAGCATGTGCCTTGAAGTTACAAACCCATCCACTGATATCTCTACAATAAAATTTGAATGGGATTGCCTAGCGGCTGCACAATGGGCAGAGCAATTCCATGCTCTTTTGAACCAAACAAATGCATCTGATGCATCATTGCTGAATGATCCTCTGTCATTTTTCACTATGTGTGGTTTCAATGACACCCACTTTTGAAGAGGTTCAGGTAACAATAGACAGCATGAAGTCAAACAAAATGTGCTGAACCAATGGTAGCACAGCTGAGCTCCTGAAGTATCATGGTTACCAACTGCACTTAGCTTTGCACACAATCATCTGCAAAGTTTGGAATACTAAATCCATAGCCTTACAGTAGAAAGATGGTATTTATCAATTCACCCACAGGAATTGAATGTGGCACAAGGCCTTTTTAATGTGGGTATGTCCGAGCCCGTAGGCCCAGCCAAAAATAAAACCCATCTAAACCCGTCCAAGCGGGCTAGTTCCGTCAACCTCCCCGAACGAAACCCCACCCTTCGGCGGAGCCTCGTCCGGGTTCCTCTCTGCAAGCAGAGAGTTCGACAGACACCCGGCTCGGCAGCTCACAAAGCGCAGATACTACACTTTGATCCTAGCCACCGGGCCGAGCGGGTATTCTTTTTTTAGATACAGTAGAAAGATAAAAACATTATTCCTATCAACAAATGCAAATGAGTATAGATTTTGGAAATAGTTGTGGGATTTTTCTACTGTTCATTGCTGGAAAGATAATAACCTGAGTTTTACTTACCTGACTCCAGTACATTGTTGATGTACTACCAGGGATACAGTGAGGGTTTTGTCTTAGGTGCAACATAGTCAATATGATCTTTACTGCCCATCTTATCCAAAAGAAATCCTGCAAACAACACTGTGATCTTTACCTCATCTTCATTGATCTCAATAAGGCATTTGACACCATCACTTGAGAGATTCTATGAGAGGTTCTACAGGGGTTGAGATGCCTTCCAGTCTTTCTGAGCATCAAAGACTTTCATGATGACATATCTGCCGATGTACTGTGATGTATGGTACACCAGATTTGGGATTATTTCCCATGAGGGTTGCAGTCAAACAGAGTTGCATACTGGCCACTGTGTTTTTCAATGATTTCATGGCATGTGTAACACTGTACTTAAGACACACAATCTATCTAGTATTTCTCTGCAATGTCACAATGACAGCAGTCTATTCAACCTCCTTTATACCAGAGTGTTGTCCAGGATCAGTGTTTTTCAATTTCAGATGTTACTGCTTTCATTAGCCATTCTCCACTTGGCTTTCAACAACTGATTGATGCCATGATTGATATCTACAATCATACTGAGGTCAAAATTAATACCAAGAAAACCAAAATCTTAAAACAAACAACTCCATCCTCACATAATTTTCATGTAGAGAATACAAATCTCAGCTCCACGCTTGCTAACAGTTATCATTTGACAGAAGAGATTCAATATTGTATTCAAATTTCTTCTGCAACATTTGAACCGCTTTCTAAATGTGTCTTTCATAAATGGAATTTCACCAGTAAAAACAAGAGTGCTGTCTACAAGACAGTAAATTTTTCAACACTTTTCTGCAAATCATGGGGCCTATATAGTTTTCATTTGTGAACTAATAATTCCATTTGTCCTGCATACAAAGAATCCTTCAGCATGATAAGGTACCACATGTTGAAATTTGGAATTATTCACAATCAATGACCATGAAGCTATGTTTGTTGATTGACAGCTCTGTTAGGTTGGCCACATCATCCATATACCTGAGAAACAATTCCTGTATGTGCTTTCTACAGTGAATTAGAGTTAAACAAGAGTTGCTGGTGGTCAGTACAAGCAATATGGAGACTATATCAGAGCTATCCAAAGGAACTGTAATATCTTCTCAAGCCTATTAGAAAAATTGGCTGGTGATCAGGCCAGTTGGCAATGTGTCTCTATAGATGCTGTTCTAACCATAGAAGCAAGATTAGTCTAGCAGGCAGAAAAATACTGTCATGGCTGTCACATATAGAAACCTTCCTCTATTGTTACCTACAATCTTTTCTGATACCCTACTTACAGAAGAGTGTACTGTTCTTGTGTTGGTCTAATCAATCATACAAGTGACCATCCACCACAAGGAAAATTAGTCTACAACAAATGACTTGACAACTTCAAATTTTCATGAACAATTTCATCTTCATAATTATTGCTTTTCATGAAAATTCTTCAGAGTACCAGGCTACAGCCAATAGCAAACAGCAGAACAGAGATAAAAAAAAAGACTTGCATCATTTTTACCTTAGAAAGCCTGTTTTTTCTGTAACAGCTGTTCTACCAATTCAGTTACAAGAGCACCATAGATGACAGAAGATTAAATGTAACCATTTAAATTGATTCTTTACATTTTCCCACAATTGTTTGACATTGCATTTGCTATTGTTTTTATATACACTAGTAGTATTATTAGTTGTAATATTATTTTTTAATTTTTATTAATGCAAGTGTTATTAACCATTCAAATTTGAAGCATTATCAAGAAGAGTAAATTTGAATGGTTGACTATGCTTGAAAAAATTCAAGATTATATTACTTCCACTCATACCTACTAATTTATTTAAAAACAAAGGTGGCATCAAACAATTGAGGAACAATGAAAAGTTTAAAATGATTAGATTTGATCTATTAGTCGTAGAGTTTTCATAAGTAGTAGAGCAGCTGTTATGGAAAAAGAGGCTTGTCAAAATAAAAGATATTAGCCTCACCAAGAAATTATTCTTTATTTCCAGTCTTCATGGTTCACTGATGGCCAAGTCCAAATTGTTACAATGAAAAGTAAATAAAATGACAATGAAAGGACTACTAATCAAAAAACTAATAAAATATGAAAAGGCTTCATTTAATAAAAATTCAAGATAAGATTTTCACAAAGTTTATCACAAAACAAATCTGTTTTTGCTTTTCTTTATTGATTTGAATACATTTTTTATATTATGAAATTCTTCACTGCAAAATCTTTCTTGCTGGCCTATAAGAAATAAACATACTTTTATGTAGGTAAGTGAATAAGTTAGTAGCCTAATGATAGAAAATGCATATATTTTACATAAATAAATTTCAATATAATGTTCCTGATCAATAAATGTAGCCTGACTGCAGTCCATTAATCACACATATCAAACATTACACAGTGCAGGTTTCAAATCAAAATTCAGCCAATATCTTTGCCAGGTTATAAACTTATTGATCTATCCTCATATTTTATTTATAAAATGCACATATGTAGATTTTGTTTATAATTTAAAAAATAAGTTTCTAATAGCACTAAATTTATTTTGAAGTTAATTGTAAATAAAGTATTGTGATAATTTATTGATTTGTTTTTGTTTTGTTTTTTTTACAGTATAACATTTTGCAGGTTATTTTAAGCCAGAAAATATTTTAAGATAGTAAGAATTTTTTTTGAGAGATAATAAGGATACAAGTCATACTAATTAATCCATAGCTGGGGGAAGAAGGATATTTGTGCCTAAGTGAATATAACCAGACTGGAGTTGAAATTCCACTCTCCAATTTCCAGCTGTTATCCATTACACCACATCCAAGCTTACAGCACCTGGTATTCCCAAGTAGTTACCCATCGAGATACTAACCAGGCTCAATGTTGCTTAACTTCGGTGATCATACAGGAACTGTTGTTTCAATGTGATATGGCTGTAAGCTCATTGTGGTAATACACTTGATACAACATTATGGTATATAAATTTTATATTAAAATACCTTTTTTGAGTTCATAAATTGTTCAAAACATAATTCACTTAACTAAAACTAAGATTTTGAAATAGTAACAAAGATTGTGAAGAAGCATCTAAGGTTCATAAAATGACACTATTTTAAAATGATGAAGGCTGGTTATTTTATCTTATTATTTTCAGAATTAAAATTCTTCAAATACTTATTACATAATATTCACATTATTTAATATCATACAATCATTTAAGCACCCCTGAAAATATTAAAGCTTTACAAAGTTTCCATTTTTAAAAAAAATTATTCTATTTTATTAATCATTTTAAGTTCAATGAACATTTTATGCATTTATCTTATCTTAATACAAAAGATATCTGTTGGTCTTTGAGATAGCTGCAAATTCAAGATAATTTCATAAAATGCACATTGTACTGAAGACCTTTTCATTATATCGTGTATTGACATTTGGTAGTTTTGCTTTGCCATTTTTATTTTTCGATGCATCTTTTTATTCAGTAGAGCTCTTCAATCATGTGGGGACCTATGCTCCACATATTTTTCATCTCTATGTTTATGCTTATGCTTTTGTAGCTCAGTTCATTATCACTCATTTCTATCTGTAAAGCAAACAATATCCTTTATAAATCAGTAGGTATTGTCCTTGATATCTGGTTAGTTAATACATATTATTGTAAGGTTTATGTAATGGGTCTCTTGATTTCAACTATTATGCAATATATGACTCTATATCAATATGTCCACAACCCAATATATAGTCATTACCTGAATTTTGATCCAAAATTTTCATTATATAATACTTGAACTATAATTAATACTTGCCGCTAAATGAAATGCATTGAAAAAAATAGATTATGTGGAAAAAAAAAATTGTTTAAAATAAATGTCTTTTTGGGGTTTATTCTTATTCATTAATTGCAGACTTATTGATGTACCTAGGTATATAAAATGAAGTTTTACCTAACACAGTTTATTCTTAAAAATTTATAAAAATCTGAGTGATTATGGAGCTGGAGCATTATATCAATTTATTGCATGATATTTTTTTAAAATAGTGAAAATCACAGAAATGTTCTTATATACAATTTTTTTTTTACTATTTCAAACAAGATTTAATTAAAACCAAAGTCAAATGTTAGTTTAGTGTAGGACACCCAGTGTGGATTATGCCACTAAAACTAGCTAGATAACTTTTCAATGGAGAAGCACCTAAAAGATTTATTTAGTTTAGCTTATTATATAGTACAAGGATGTAAGTGCAGGGCACCCGGTGTAGATCAAAATTACAGTAGTAATGGTTAGATAGACATTGTTATACTTCAGAGAAAGTCTACTATGCTTCTGTACTAAAGAAACTTAAAAATAAGAGTATAAGAATCTATGCTTGTGAACTATTTTGTAAGAATTGTACAAGACTAATAAAATTGGAAAGTATGTACTGCACATTTGGCAATGCAATAAATATTTAGAGAAGACAGAAAATGGCAACAGAAAGGACACTTATATTCAGAATCAGGAAAAGACAGCTGAAATTCCTTGGACACATAATGAAGAAGAAGGGATTGGAAAACTTAACCCTCACAGGATATATTGAGGGCAAAGAAAGATAGGGGAAGGCAGCAAGCCACTTACCTGAGGAGCTTGTGTGAATGGATGGCTGCACAGGAGTGGGGTGTGGGTAGCTGAAACCTTAGCAAAGAGAGAAAAACTGCTAAGAGCCACACGAGATAGGCAGTCATGGCTCTCCACAATTTCCTATGTCTTGAAGGGATGCAGCCCATAGAAGAAGATCCATAAATTTTTTAATAAAGATCATATTACAAAGAAATTTACTAAATATGATTTTTTAACATTTTATATCAACAAGTCTAACAGGTTATCAAAAAAAAAAATCCAGAACAATGTAATAGGCTGACTTTTTTTTAAAGTGATTTTCTATTTTATCTTGAATGGCATTAGGTAAATCTAAGTTATACAAATATTTTATTAATTTAAAAAAATATACCTAATACTACAACTCCTTTATTGGAAATTCATGATGTTTTCATAAAAAATGATAAATAAAAGATATGCCAACAGATTTTAAGGCAATAATAACAAAAATAGTGCCAGTGATTTCCAATAAATGCAAAACTTCCCATCTCATTTATTCAAGCTATTTAATATTATCTAATGTTTATATTGTATATAAAATAAAAGATTCTTGACATTTCTGTAAAACATAAGGATGCAAGCCTCAACAAGCAAATTTTAACTTTTATTACAACTCACTATACTTAAAAATATCACTTGACATAGCTATCCCATGAGTAATAAGCTTCTCTAAAAGATTATAATACAAATATTTCAATCATAACTGTTGTGTTGTAATTTCTGTGAATTCTTTTAAAATTCAGCTAACTGAATTTTTAATGTTTCTTGTTATTAAAAGTTTAAGAAAAATTAATTAGCTGTAAATGACTTTCCTGATCATTATTAACTATGCTGGATAATTTTATATCATTAAAACGGACAAATATAAAATAAAATTTTTAAAATTATTATTTTGTATAACTTTTGTTATATTATATCAAACCTTATTCAAGAATTTTTTGAGAAGGCAAAATATAGGATCTATTTTGTTTTAGTTCAATGAAGTAGAAGTGTGGTAATATTAAACTCTAAATTCAAAACTGTAAGACATGATATAAAAATAAAGCTATTTTCAGTTTAAAATGAATGAAATATAACATGTTTGTTTTTGGATTTTTAAGAAAAAAAAATGAAGTTCATAGAGTTGAAAGTTAAAAAAAAAAAAATCCAAGTTTTTCCTCTTTTTTTCTTTTATCTTTTTTGTACTTATGCATAGCTAGTTTCAAAAAGCCCACTTTCATCAGTAGCTCAAATATGCAGTGTTTAAATATGGAACAACTTTAACATTCCCAAGGTATGTCAGCTGCCTACGTACCTTTCCTATCTGCAGCATAACATTAAATTAATATCTGCATAACCAGAATAGAAAGATTTTATTATTCTTTGACAGAAAAAAAAAAAAAAAAAAAAGTAAATAAAAATAAAAAAATTTGCCATGACTGCTGCTACTACTACTATTTTTATGTGTTGTATCTCTTCAGGAAATGGGTAATCATGGCTCTCCACAATTTCCTGTCCTCTGTAGTGTTTCGTAAAGTTGCTACTACTATTACTCCAATCAAATGATTATAATAAAAGCAACAATGCTAGTAAGAATAAAGAAAATAAGCATAAAACAAATGCTTCTTTTTACAGTAAAGTATTGTGTCAGCAGCTTCATAAAATATAAAGTGGTTTAAATATGAAATGAAATGACTAAATTACTTCATAGTAATATCATAAGGTAGAGGAAATATTTCTGAAATCTCTGGGCCAAAGTCAGCAGTATCGCCCACATAACATTTATTGGATACGTGGCATCTATGCCTGCTATTTAGATCAATTAATTTTCATTTTCTTCTCTCAGCATATTCATATTTTATATGCAAACAAAAGGTTCTGACAGTTGTTGCAGAAATTCTTTTTCTATATTTTTCCCTCTCTATCTCTATTTTCTCTTTTTGCTAAAAACCTGATATGTCCTGAACAGTGCAGATTACAGATTACAAACATGCTGAATCACGCTTGATAAATTACATCTTTACATTGAGATTATAGCCAAAAATAAACAAACACAAATAAGCAAAAAAAAAAAAAAAAAAAAAAAAATCAAAAAACTTCATTTCTAAGTCAGTTTAAAATATGATTCTTCCAGTTTACAGTCATTATTTTTTTAACAAATAAGTATATATGCTTTCAAGGCCATTTTAATAAAAGAACTATAAAGTAGATTCAAAAGTGTACATGCATTTTCAGGAAATGTTACATAGCATTTAGCAGTTATTTAAAACCTTTGTATTTTATTTTGAGAGTATAAGATTAAGAAGAAAAATTACTTTCATATTAACCAATATATCAGTAAAAAAGTTTGCTTGCTTGAAGATATGGAAAAATATTAGTTGAATGGAATTTTTTAAAGTAATTCTTAAGAACTAGCTTCTATTTTCTTACATGCTTAAAACAAACACACAATATATACACATGCTTACAAAGATTTTCTTTGGTCTTTAAAACTTGTATAAAGAAAAAAATGCTGCTCAGTGCAACGTATCTATCAATATAAGTCTATTAATTAATTTGGAGATGTTCAAAAGGTTTATCTCTGGAGTTGGTCAATGAGATAAGTCCTTCGAACATTTTCTAATTCATAGACTTGTTGCAAAAAATTCTGCTGGGCTTAAAAATACATTAAATTTTGACATATTTTGATAGGTATCATCGATATATAGATACTTTAGTTGGTTTATCAAAATGTATTTGGCAAATTCTAGCATTTTTAGTTTGATGGAATTAAGCTTAAGTCATTCAAATGTGACATCATCTGCAACAGTCAAACTGAATTTATATTCATGCTTTTTTTTTTTATTTATTATACACAATTCAATATACAATCTATGGAGAAAGATATTTTATTTAATGTTGGTTGTTCGGCTTCTAGAATTTTGAGTCTTTCTTTGCCTTGATATCTTGATGTTATATATTAAAATTTGTTTTATGTTAATATTATTTTGTTCGTTTGTGGTATGTTGATATATATGTGCACAAATTGCAGTAAATCTTGACAACTGACAAGTCAACCTATGAGACAGTGTGGTGCATGTGTAGTCAATGTAAGAATTTAATATTGTTTGTGGATTATTATAGTGTTGGAAATACAATCTCCCAAAGGACACAATAATTCATAAACAAGGTTTTTGCATAGGGGGATTTTTAAGGCACTGAATTATTTTTAACAATAAGATTATACATTTTGAATCTTTGTTATAAATGATAACTCTAAGATATTTGTTAGAATCAATAATTGTTATATACCAGCAAATTTTATTTTTAATGGCCTTTT